CGAATTGATGAATCGTAAAAGAACTGGTTATCGCACAGACGGAATCGAACTTTCACTCATCAATTGTCATTGACTCGCCTTTGCCCAATTTCCTAGTAGTGTGAGCAGTATTTTCCCAAACAAAAAAATCAAAAATGTTGGGTACCCCACCCATAAGGATATCTTTGCTTGGTTTCTTTCCCCGCAGCGTAGCACTTGGCAGAAACAGCGTGCACGCTCTCTCCCCCGATGAGAAGATAATTTCTTAACTATGCCATTTACTGGCCCAGTTTGGAGGTCACAGGCAGCCAAATGAGGCACTCGATGGGAGTGGAAGACCACACCGGAAATTTCTGGAACTGGTGAATATCTCTCGCGGATTTTTTTAATCCCTTGGTAATGCATGGATTTCCCGAAAATTTGTCTCTGATATAATTATGCATGCAGGCGGACTTGTTATTCTTTTTCGGGAAATCCATGCATTACCAAGGGATTAAAAAAATAATTATGTGCTTTTAGCGTAGGCGTAGTCTGCACCTTAGACAGCTCAACTAATGCAGACGGCGGTAACGATGTTCTGGAAACGACTGTTGGTGAGGGTGGAATCGACGGCCGATGGTAACCAAGGAATCTGGCAGTCCTTGTGGCACTACTTATTAATATTAGTTTATAGTTTCGATTATGCCAATAATTACAATTTCATTAACTACAACAACCACAATTATTTCCAACAATTATAATAATTATAATTTAATTGTCAGTGCATTCATTACTTGGATACTTGGTTCGGCTGTAGTTCACATAATCGATTTCTCCAACTATGCAGCTGACAACATCTTTCACCATTTGCTTTGAACAGTGCTTGTATCATCGATGGTCTGTTTGATGGAGGACCAAGTGTTTATATAATCCTGTTTCCTGAACGAATGGCCAGCATGGCCGTTTTCCTGACTACTCAAAACTTTACTCGTCTCGAATATCCTTGGTGTGTGCGTTGAGTATCGTCACCTTATCTCGAATGTTGTCACTTTTCGATTACGAAAAGTGTGCCTTATCAATTTGAAGTCGTTATCACCAGGTAATCTTTAACAGTTGTTATACGTGTCAAGCCGGATAAACTTAATTGTCTTACTGATTATCATAAAAAGACTTAGCAATCGTTAATAACCAGAACCACCTCTCTAGTTTTAATAAGTTTTAATGAGAATAAAAATGCAAAAGAATAGGCCCCAATGCTGTACTAACGCTCCAATTCTATAAAAACTTGTTAGCATTAATTGCTGGGATGGAACCCATACACTACCAGCTCATTTCCACATTCAGTCGTTCTGCTTCCCACTCGCTCCCATGCCTCTCGTTTTTCCCTCCTGGATATGCGTTCTTTTCAGCTGCATAACGTTTTGTTCCGAATGCTGTTTGATGGGAATACGATTGGCATAGTGTTTTCGCGGACTCACCGGTTTTTCCACCGCCTCTCTTTTTTTCGGAGAAGCACCACATGTTGCACTGATTTAATTTCCTCGCCACGACTTTTTTTTCACAACCAAATTTATTTTCTCTTGTGCTCAAACGCAGTGAGTGAATTGAGTCTCGAGATTTCCTGTAGTGCTTTTTATCCTTTTTGCATCATAATTTCTATTTCAACTTGACCTGGAAAATAAGCTCGTGAGGTGTGTTTCACGGCTGGGTTCTGGAAGAAGGGAGGGAGAGAGGGGGATGAGTGATGGAGGCAGGAGAGCCGTTTTTTCATGAAGCAGTTTAACGTTCATAGCAGCTGACAGCTGGGAAAACTTCCCCCTCCGGTTTTATATTACACGCCCGCGCTCTATTTTTGTGCTAATTCGTATTGATTTCAAAGGCTCTGTTGCAAGTAATGCTGTACGATTCGATTTTATTACCATTTTCATTCTCATTTGTTCAGCAAATTTCCC